GTTCGCCTTGGAGCGGCAGGTAATAAGGGGGAGCCCAAGAGGAGCCATTGAATCAGCTGGAAGGGATCTGTGAGGTCTTCTAGTCCAACCCCCTTCTCAAGCAGGAGACCCTGTGTCATTTCAGTCAAATGGGTGTCCGGCCTTTTCTTAAAAGACTCCAGTTATTGGGGGGGGGGGCACGAAGGAAAAGAAAGAAGGAGGAAGCCTGGTTTGCAGAATTACAGAATATCAGATGTGGAAGGGACCATGGAGGTCTTCTAGTCCAGCCCCCTTCTCAAGCAGGAGACCCTGTGTCATTTCAGTCAAATGGGTGTCCGGCCTTTTCTTAAAAGACTCCAGTTATTGGGGGGGGGGCCCGAGGGAAAAAAAAGAAGGGGGAAGGAAGCAAGGAAAGAGAAAAGGCTGAAAGAAGGAGGAAGCCTGGTTTGCAGAATTACAGAATATCAGATGTGGAAGGGACCATGGAGGTCTTCTAGTCCAGCCCCCTTCTCAAGCAGGAGACCCTGTGTCATTTCAGTCAAATGGGTGTCCGGCCTTTTCTTAAAAGACTCCAGTTATTGGGGGGGGGGGCACGAAGGAAAAGAAAGAAGGAGGAAGGAAGCAAGGAAAGAGAAAAGGCTGGCTTGCAGAATTACAGAATATCAGATGCAGAAGGGACCATGGAGGTCTTCTAGTCCAGCCCCCTGCCCAAGCAGGAGACCCTCTACCATTTCAGACAAATGGATGGCCAGTCTTTTCTTAAAAGCCTCCAGTGTCAAAGCACCCACAACTTCTGAAGGCAACTTCTGTCCCACTGGTTATTTGTCTTCACTGTTAGGAAGTTTCTCCTTAGTTCTAGGTTGCTTCTCTCCTTGATTAGTTTCCATCGTTCCTTGTCCTGCCCTCAGGTGCTTTGGAGAATAGCTTGACTCCCTCTTCTTTGTGGCAGCCTCTCAAATACTGGAATACTGCTATCATGTCTCCCCTGGTCCTTCTTTTTATCAAACTACCCATTTCCTGCAAACGTTCTTCATATGTTTTAGTCTCCAGGCCTTTAATCATCTCAGTAGCTCGTCTCTGCACTTTTTCCAACATCTCAACATCCTTTTTGTAATGTGATGACCAAACCTTGATGCAGCATTCCAGGTGTGGTCTTACTAAGTGTCAGCCTCTGCTACACTTGCTTACTATCGGCTGCCATAGAAATGGGGAGGGTGGGAGCATGATATTGGGGAAGGGAATTATATTGTACTGGAGGAGTCTTCTTCTCACCATCTTCTGCGCATACTAGTGGCTCAGATCTTGCTTTCCTTTTTGCTGCTTTCAATTAATGTCTAGTAAAAGTACTTTATTCAAATGGAGTTGAAGTTTTTCTTTCTGGGATATTGAAGGAGGCATGCCTGACACTAAGGCTTTATAAAAATGGTACTGATACTTCAAGTGATTCATATGTTTCGTTGTTATTTCAGAAAACATTTGAAAAGAAAAATGTATATAATCTCAATGAAGAAGAAGACTTAACTCACTATGGCCATTCTCTAGCAGACATCGAGAAACTTAATGACATTGTGGAGAGTGACAGCGATACCGAAGAAAAAGGAATGTTATCAGGTGGGAAAAAAATGATTGGATGTATATCCTTTATATTATAACATGCAACTGTGATTTAATAAGACCTTTAACAACACTTGTTTATTGTAAATGAAATGTTGAAGTGCCTATAGCAGTAGTTACAAATGAATAACATATGGTATGCAACCTATTCAAATTCTGCTTAATTTATAAATTGATACCCTGTTTCCCCGAAAATGAGACTTAACTGGAAAATAAATCCTAGCATGATTTTTCAGGCTGTTCATAATATAAGACCTACCCCCCAAATAACCCCCATTTAAGAACTTCAGCCAGACCGATGCAATTAGTACCGTATTTTCCCCAAAATAAGACTTAACTAGAAAATAACACCTAATGCATCTTTTGAAACAAAAATAATAATATAAGATCCGGTCTTATTTTCAGGGAAACACAGTACTTTCAAAACTTTCAGTAATCAATATCTCTATCTTTCCAGTTCTCTCCCTTGTGCTCTCCTTCAATTTTATTCTGGTAAATTATTAGCGTTGTTAAAGCAACATTAGGGATATTTAGTATGCTGAGTTCTCAGGATTTATTTACGTCCTAGTCAATTCAAAATCTTGCGTTTCCAGAGGAATTAACCGCTTCTCATTTTGGAGGACTTCTTTCGAAGAAAAAACCCACAGAACAGCAGAACGAAGAAGGTCAGAATCCCAAGTCACGCAAGGAACTTGTTGAAGAGCTGATAGCAAAATCCAAATTGGAAAAGGTGAACTATCCTAAACTTGAAATGCTCTGAAGTTGCAATCGGTACATTCTTCTTCTATAAAACTGAAAGGTTTAATTCCCCTGCGTGGAATTATTAAAGCGCAGTAGGTGCTTTGACATGTATGTCCATCACTGTCAAGGAAGACCTTAATGTCAAAGTAAAAATTTGAGGTTTGATGTAACACTTATTCTGCTTCATCAAAGGGAGTCAGAAGTGAGTGCCTTTTTTTTTCTTTTTCCCTTTTCTACATTTCCTTTTTCTCTATTTTTCCTATTATTTGCATTTGTATTTTTGTTATTTTATACTATAAACTAATAAAAAGGATAATATAAATTGGGAGATAAAATGAAGGCTGAAGTACAATGATTGTATTGTCATATCACCTCAACTTGAGTACTGTGGTGGAGTAAGCAATGGGCTTACCAAATGGAACTGTTTTTTTTATTTTATTTCACAGAATGCATTGCTCAACTAAGGCCTTAGAAATTCACTCTCCCTTAATCTGTCAGAAGAAACTGAATCGTGCCATTTGCTTGTGGTATTTTCTAAGGTGTATATTTTGGTGGAACAAAAGAAATGGATGTAAATTCCATCTTTATCTACCGTTACCCCTAAATCTTGAATCGGTTTCTTAGGGTGCGTCGATTTCTAGCAGGCTTTTGGGGTGAAATATTATAGATGTACTGTATTTTTTGGAGTATAAGATGCTCCAAAGTATAAGACGCACCTAGCTTTTGGGGAGGAAAACAAAAGGAAAAAAAATCTGCCTGCCAGTAATTTGCCTCCTTGCAGCAAAAGGCAAGTTTCAAGTTCAGTTTAGCCTGATCAGCACAAGGGAAAAAAATCAGAGGCAGAGGCCAAAGGGTGGGGGCCAGTGGGTAAGCAGAACTATATTCAGTATATAAGACGCACCAAAATTTTCACCCTCTTTTAGGGGGGGAGGGGAAGTGTGTCTTATACTCTGAAAAATACAGTAATTTATTTGCATGCATATTTGTAATTGTTTCCTTTCCTTTTGAATTCTCTACTTTTACTTCTTGTTTGAATACGGAAAAAGAGCATTCAGATTAGGCACTTATTGTACAGCAATAATATGATTATCCTTACCCCCTTTTCTTTTTTAAAGAAAGAGCGACAGGCTCAGCGGGAAAATACTCTGGAACTTACAGAAAAGCTTAACAACGATTGGAGAGAGATTCAGGCACTCTTGTTGCCCAGGACGTCCAAGTCAGAGACACAGAGTCAAGTTCAAGAAAAACCCAAGGTGAGCTTGTTTATCTATGTCCCCCTATTTTAGGAACAAAGCTATTTGCGAATAAGTGAGCTTTTGGCTAACTGTCCTGGAAAAACGGATGTCAACTAATAAAGCCTTTGCATGTCTGTTATCAAGTTGCCATGGTGAGGAAAGGGGGGGAGCACATTCCACGCATACCTTAAAGCTAGAGTCGGATCTCAGATTACTGCAGCAGGCTTGTGAGGCGTGCACCTCGTTGGAGAATGTGATTTATGACACAGGCTGAGAGGAGGAAAGAAACGGGGGCAAAGTTCAGCCATAATTTAGATGAGGTCAGCTCTGACTGCAGAGAGGCATTGCCGAAATGGTGCTCCTAATAAATGACTGGATTTCTTTTGAAACTTGGCTGGAGGCTCATGAATTAATTGGGGCATTTTTAAGAAACCTGAAAGATTTCATTTCTCCGCCGTCTTCAGCGACAAGGAACTGTGTAAAGACTCTTAGAAGTTGTTCTGTTTTATAAAACAATCTTTTGTTCTTAGTATAATTGTTACATTTATGTCAAATTATATACATGGGTCGTTTCTAATCGAGGTAATGACATCATCTTGTTGTGCTCCGCTCTGTGTTTCTTAATTATTTGGGGAATATCAAGGGAGATGTTTCTCTTTGTCGACTATAATGACACTGCCGTGTTTCCCCAAAAATAAGACAGGGTCTTATTTTCTCTCGACCCCCAAGATAAGCACATGGCCTTATTTTCGAGGAGGTCTTATTATTTTCAAGGTGCAGGAGACTGTGAGCGTGGTCACCTCATGGCTGCTGCTGTGTTGCCATATTTTCGGGGGAGGGCTTATTTTAGCCCATGCGCTCAAAAGTCCGATTGAGCTTATTATCTGGGGAGGTCTTATTTTCAGGAAAACAGGGTAAAAGAGATGTTTCTTTTTGTCGGCTCAAATGTAGTAACTTTGAGAGTTATTGTACACAATCCTCAGTTGTATAAACAGAGGCATAGAATCAAAGCCACGTGAAGTATTAGTACCGCTTTATAAATCCTTAGTAAGGCACACCTGGACTGGATTACAAAAAAAGATATGTGATATCTAAAGTGATGTAAGGGGGGGGGGGGAATACTAAATGCATTGCTAGAATCCAACACTTACTGTGTTTACCGTGGAATAAAAGGTTTCGAGTGAATGGATTGCAGCATTTATTTTGATTTTCTGCTCACCAAAGCTCGTTCTGTTTGACACACCGCCATCGCGGGAGCCGCAATGATGGTGCGTTTGTTGAATTTTGCAGCCAGATGAATACGATGTGCTGGTTAGAGAGCTCGGCTTTGAAATGAAGACGCAACCCTCGGATAGGATGAAAACGGAAGAAGAGCTGGCAAAAGAAGAGCAAGAGAAACTCCAGCAATTGGAGGTATAATATATACTTGTGGTTGTTCTTAACCTTGACGTCCTTTCAACAACTGTATTTATGCTTAATTTTGTCTGTGTAGCATTAGCTCCGCACTTCTAATGCAGGACTGTCCTGTCCATCAAAGGGGGAAAAAAAACCAGGGTACTCATTAATTGTTGTTTGCTAGTCTGGGCAGGCTGAGAGCAGTTAAAACTTGTTCTACAACCACAGCTCCCTTTAGCAGTCTTGTGTTACTTGCAGGCAAAAGGCCCATGTTGCCTGGCTTCCAAGAAGTCTTGAAAACTGCCTCTTCTCCAGGCCTTGTTACTCCAGGAGTCAGCAACTCGCTGCTCTGGAGCCGCATGTGGCTCTTTCATCCCTCTGCTGCGGCTCCCTGTCGCTCACAATATGCTTCACAACTGCCAATATGTGTCACCCGCCAGCACACGATTTATTGAGCTTTTCAACCCCCAGTAGGCCAACCATGGATAAATACAAGAAAAGAAATGTTTCAGAAGAAAAAGAGAATGTTTAATTCAACTACTTATCCTCGTTGTGTGGCCGCTCAGGAAATAGCCAGGCATGGGAAGTCTTTTGTGGTTCCTGGTGTTTTCTTTTGGGTGGGAAACGGGTCCAAATGGCTCTTTGAGTGTTTAAGGTTGCCGGCCCCTGAGTTACTCTGATTGACCCCTTTACCTTACAGAATGGGGTGCCTTGGATTTCAGCCCCCGTTCTGGATCCATCCTTCTCCCATTTAGATCTGCTAACTCAATCAAATTTGATTAGATTTGATTTAATGTATTCATATGGAACTCAAGTAACAGAAATGAAACCCAAACGTTCTGGGATTTGAAGTGGCTAAAAAGCATGCGGGGGAAGTGAAAAAGTATGGGAGAAAAAAATACATTATTTTTCTTAGCTGGATTAGGCTACAGTTAAATTCCTCACGGTGTTGTAGTGTATTTGGTTGACATTCACGTTGGGAATCAAGAGGTTTAGTTTAGTTTATTGTCCTTGCACCTCATACAATAAAATTAAATGCCATCTTCAGTGTACATTATAACTATAAAAATAAAAAGACAAGCACACCTCCTTCACATGCTATATGTGAAATTGAAAACTGACGTTACATCAATATTGCACCTAGAATTCAATATAGTTACTGCCCTGGGATAGAAGCTGTTTTTTTTCAGCCCATTTGTTCTTGTTTTTATTGCCCTGTACCGTTTGCCAGATGGTAATAGTTCAAAAAAAAGTGTCCAGGATGAGATGAATCTTTAAGACTGGAATAATGTTTGTAGGTTGTGTACCTAAAAAGAGCATTTGTAGCGTTTATGTTTTCAAGGGATTGTTCAGATGGGCCAACACCTGAGGAGTTTTCCTGGTGGCTCGGTCCGGGGAGCGCGGGGCACTTAGGAGGGCTGACCGGATTTCCTGGGATCTCCTCCCCATGCAGGCTGACCGCTTACGTCGGATGAAAGGAGAGGAGCAGAAGGAGAGCCGCACGAAACTGACGCACCTCTCGGCTGACGATTTGGTAGACGGGTTTCTTCTAACCAAAGATGACCGACCTTTGCTATCCTACAGTGTAAGCCTTTCATCCTTTTACCATCCTCCTTTTTTTAAAGTTTTTATTTTTTACTACAAATTTTGACATATTTTATGAGCAAAGCGTTGTCCGGGTCTTTTCCTTTTACATCCTCTCATCTACATAATCCATTTTACATCGTAGTTCTGTTTCCAATTTCGGCCCTATTATTCTCTCTCCATATTTTTCCTCTCAAACTTATTTTCTTCTTGGTACATAAACAATATCACTAATTGCCCCTTCAGAGTTAAACCAAATTATCATTTCATATTTCATCTGTTTTACTATAAGCAACATACATTCTCAAATTCAGTTTTAACAGAGAGAACATTTAACTTGATGAATTATCCACAATCAACAATGCTGCTATAATTTCCTTACATCTTAATTAACTACATACCATTTACAATCTTAATACAATTCCCTTTAATCTACTAATACGTCCCTTCTCTCCCTTACTCCTCCTCTAACCATTTTCTCTTGGTCTCTCAAAGATTCCACTCATTAATTTTCTTCCCCCCCCCCCCCTCATTCTCCTAGCAGCTGCTTCTTCTTGTTATAATTATTGTATCTTTTCTTCAAAATCCTTTTTCTCACTTCTAATTTAATTGTTCTAGTTTTCCCCAGGGTTTTTCTTAGTCTCTTCCCACTATCCTCTTTTTTTTTTTAACAACCCCATAATTCCTTGCGGGGTGGAGTCTGGACAACTGTATTGAGCTGAGTGTTGTTCTATTTTAATGCCAAGGTGGCGCAGTGGTTAAGAGTGCAGTACTGCAGGCCACTTCTGCAGTTCTGTTGTTCAAATCTCACCGGCTCAGGGTTGACTCAGCCTTCCATCCTTCCGAGGTGGGTAAAATGAGGACCC